AGGGTGGTGGGCTCGGGTTTCAGGTGGACCCTGCCTGTGTTTGGGTACAGCTGGCAGAGAAGCCGACGACATTGTGAACTGGCTGAAGAAACGCACGGGCCCCGCTGCCACCACACTGCCCGACGAGGCCGCCACAGAGGCCTTGGTGGAGTCCAGCGAGGTGACGGTCATCGGCTTCTTCAAGGTAGGGGCTTTGGGGTTGGTCTCAGGTCGTCGTACCCCTTCGCTGGAGGACGGGTCCCTGTGGCCTGCGCACTGCACTCTGCCCCGCCGATGCGGGCGGGGGTCCTCGGTGTTGGGCGTGCAGCCACCTCTGGTCCTCTTCCCCAGGACGTGGAGTCGGACTTTGCCAAGCAGTTCCTGTTGGCAGCGGAGGCCATTGATGACATACCCTTTGGGATCACGTCCAATAGTGACGTGTTCTCCAACTATCAGCTGGACAAGGACGGGGTTGTCCTCTTCAAGAAGGTGAGTGGTCCTCGGCGGCTCTGCTGGGTGCGTGTGTCCCAGGGCAGGTGGCCCTGCCGCGTTGCTACCGCAGCACCTGGAGCACTTTGCCCGCGGCGCCGGCCTGCCACCTCCCTGGCCGTTATCAGCGTCCAGCCTGCAGCAGGTGCGGGGCTGTGGCCCTTTGTTTGGCCGCTGCCGGCTCTGTGCTGTGTTTGCGAGGGCGGGGCGTCAGCTCTTTTAAACTGTGGTGAAACATGTAACAGTTTGCTGTTAGAACCATTTTCAGGTACATAGGCGTCTATGACCTTAGCTACATTGCGACTACATTGTAACTACATTGTAACTACATCGTACTCTGGATGGTTTCTGTTTCCAAAACTTTTCTTCATCTGAAACAGACTCTGGACTGTTAGCTGTCGGGGTGGGTATTCCCGCCCTGCTGGCGAAGCCCGGTTCCCACGGGCTCCCACGGCCCGTCACAGCGCCCTTCCTTGTGTAAAGGGGCTTTTGGCGAGGACTGGTGTTTCCGCCGCTTGGCGCCATTGCTAGGGCCCAGTGGGACTCAGGTCCGCGCGTTTCTGACGGGGCGGTGGCGTGTTTGCTTTTTACCTCAGACCCCGGGCAGTGGGACGTGGGCCAGCCGAGCCCGCGTGCTCTTTGTGGACCAGGACTGTCCCTGGATTGGGGACAAAAAGCACAGTGCAGAGTGGAGGATGGGAGGCACATTTCCAGGGTTGGGGACAGGACCCTTGTCCCCTTTATCAGGAAGGATGGTTTGGCAGGCCCCCCTCTAAGAGGCCCTGTGCGCCCGTGAGGGGCAGGGACCAAAGGGAGCGCTGGCTGTGAGCTGGGGCTATCCCAAGGGGCGGGACCCCACAGTGCTCAGGGTGCTTCCGGGCGCCAGAGGTTTGCTTTCTGTGTCCTAGTCATTGGGGCGGATCCGTAGCTCCTTCCTTGACAGTTCAGGGCGTTACGTAGCTTTCTTTACTCGGTGGAAATCCTCGCAAAGTTCCCTGAGGGATTGATGAGTTGTCATCGCAGAAGTGCTCGGGAAATTGCGATTAATATCTGGGAAAATCACGCGGTGTTGGGTGAAGCTGAGCGCGTGCTGAAGGGACCCTGGGTCTCATCCGAGAGTGCAGGTGGAGAGAGCATCCGAGGCTTTGAGGCTTCGGTCCACACTGTTCTGTCGCTTCTCCCTTGCCATCGAGGGGCCCGTTTTCGCCCCCGATCGCATGTGGATTTTGCTGTTCGTGTGTCCTTGGAGGTTAGAATGACCGTTTCTTGTTCTGCGAAGACTCTGGTGCCCGCTGATCCCCGTGTGCCCTTACAGGCCGGGCACGGCCGAGCCCTCGGGTCCGGTGCCTGTGAGTGGGCAGCGCTTCCTCTTCCTCACGGCAGCTCCCGTCGGCTCGGGCCGCAGCCTGGCCGAGCCCGTGGCCTTTGCCGTGTGGGTCAGTGCGGGTCACAGCTGCCGTCGGATGGCAGAGCCCGATCGGCGGGAGGACGAGGCTCGGATCCAGAGCCTCTCAGATTTCTGCCCGGCTCCTCGTCGCGCTTTCTCAGCTGTCACAGTCAGTTTCTTGTTTCCGGTCTCAGCCTTGACGTGTCCCCTTTTGCAGGCCGTTCGGCCCACTTCCTCAAAGTGAGCCGGGTCTTCCTGTCTGTCCGGGGCAGCCTGGCTGAGCCGGCCGCTTCCCCAAGTGGAGCAGGTGGCTGTGCTCCCTGGAGGGGCCAGCTGCCACTAGCCAGGCAGGGTGACGAGGGCAGTGGTACCAGTGACACCGGAGCCCAAATCCCGGCTTGGACCATGGGTTCGAGGGCTGAGCATCTCGTGTCTTTGTCCTGCCGTTCACCTGTCCTCTTTTCTACCCCCGGAGGCTGCGGCGTTTGGAGCGGCTCTCCACTCCCGCAGCATCAGAGCCTTTTCTTGATGTTCATGTTATGGGCCGGCAGGGCTGGCCGCCACTGCCAGAAACGGGGTGGTCTCCTGCCTGGGGCCCCAGCCCTCCTGCGACTGTCCCCAGCTAAACGAAGGCCGTCTCTGCTTTCGACCGCGGCAGTGAAAATGGAGCGTGTGGCACCGTCACCAAAATGATGGCGGCTTAACAGCGACAGCTCAGCATGAAGTTGGGCGGTGCTGGCTGCTCAGAGGGGCTGGACGAGTGGGGACGGCGGTTCGTTTGCCCCTAACTGGGGCTCAGGACCCCCTGGCCTGGCCTGCTGTGCATCTAATGGAGCCCACCAGTCAGCTTCTCATTTTCTCAACCAGTGCTCTTGGCCTCGGCTTTTCCGCTGGTGACTGTCCCCACGTCTGTGGGCGTGGGGCATATAGAGCAGTTTTCGGCCTCAGCTGGGGGCCGGGGAGGGGCAGGGGCTTGTGCCTGCAGCGCCTGGCCTTGGTCTGGTCTTAAGGCGAGGCGTATGGGAGCAGGGAGGGGCCACTTGCTTTTCTGGATGCTAATTTGGGGGAATGAGGAAGGAAAGGTGAGTAGTTTCTCTCCAGGTGTCATTTGAGAACTGAGGGGAGTGACGGATGGCAGGCTCACCTGAACTGGCCACCTGAAAAGGCACAGGCCCAACCTCTCTGTGGCAGGAATTGTTCCTGCACCTATCTGGGGCTGCGGCCGCACCTGGGCGGGAAGGCCCCCGTCGACCCTCTGATGGACGACAACACCTCCACCCTTGTGCCCCAGGACTCCCCAAGTTCTTGTTACTGGGGTTCCAGAGAGCTTCTGTGTACGTGGGTTATACCTATTGATTCTTATTGTGTTAGAAATAAGAACTGAGAAATTTAAAAAACTTATTCTTTTTAAAATGACAGTAAACAACTCAATACAAGTCATCAAAAATAACGTTTTTGTGAGGATGAAATTTTCCCAGACAGTATCTCAGGTGAGAGTGGTGCCTCTGCTGGTCTCTCTAACGTCCACCGAGAGGGAGGTCAGCGGGGCCTTTTGCCTTCAGTCCGCTGTGGTGTCGCGTGCTGCCTCTGTAAAACCACCCTTTTCGGGAGAAAGCGTGAGGAAGCCCACAATATCTGCCTGCAGTGATGACATTCGCCTTGACCTTGAGGCTGCCCACAAGGGTGTGGCCCACACACTGAGGGCTGTTGCTTTAGGGACTTTGAGATGAGGAGGGATCCCTGGCATTGTAATGTGGAGCGCTCATGCCGTGGGGAGCCTGCTGGTCCACACCCCGTGGGCCAGGGGTGACCAGCTGTGGGGGCTCTGGCACGTGGGAGGCTGCCCTGCCCACCTGTGCTTCTGGGGAGCCCATGCTCCTTCCCTGGGGACGCACTCGGAAGGGTGCTGATTCCTGCAGGCCTCCCCAGCTGTGATTTATGGACAGAGGCACGTGGGGCCTGCTCGCTTGTCTCTGAACTCCAGACAGGAAGACGGGGCCGCAAGGCCGCTGCCCCGGATCCTGGGCTGGGGGCGTTGGCGCACGGCGGCTCTGCCGAGTCCCCGGGGCTCAGGGTCTCTCTCCGTCCCCAGTTTGACGAAGGCCGGAACGACTTTGAGGGGGAGGTCACCAAAGAGAAGCTGCTGGCCTTCATCAAGCACAACCAGCTGCCGCTGGTCATCGAGTTCACCGAGCAGGTACGGCTCTGCGGGGCCTGCGTGCGGTGCCCCAGGACCCCGCTCAGTCCCCATGGTCGTCCGGGCGTCAGTGGCGTTGGGGCCGTTGAGAGCATCTCCTACGTCAGTAGCTGAGCTCGTGACCTGTTTGTGATGCAGACGGCCCCGAAGATTTTTGGAGGGGACATCAAGACTCACATTCTGCTGTTCCTGCCCGAGAGTGCGCCTGACCGCGACGGCAAGCTGAGTGGCTTCAAGAAGGCTGCCGAGCGCTTCAAGGGCAAGGTGCGTGCCGGCCGCCGGGCAGGGGCCATGGAGCGGGGGCGGCGGCGGCACCCGCAGCCTGCCGGCCACCCGGCACCGCTCCAACCTGCCTCTTCTTCCCCAAGATCCTGTTCATCTTCATCGACAGCGACCACGCCGACAACCAGCGCGTGCTCGAGTTCTTCGGCCTGAAGAAGGAGGAGTGTCCGGCCGTGCGCCTGATCACCCTGGAGGAGGAGATGACCAAGTATAAGCCAGAGTCAGCCGGGCTGACGGCAGACGAGATCACGGACTTCTGCCAGCGCTTCCTGGATGGCAAGGTCAAGGTGCGGGCACCACGCCCTGGGCTGGGTGGCCTGCGCTGGCCTCTGGTGCCATGGCATGGCTGTGTCCTGGAGTCTGACACCATGGGTGTAGAGTTTTGAGGACGGGGCGCCGGGCGCTGTGAACATGGCCGTCCTGGGCGCACTGCCTGGGGCTTGGGCCGGGCAGCGTGTGTCCCCGTGGGGCTCCTGCGGGCAGCCTGACCCCGCTCTGCCTGCCTCCAGCCACACCTGATGAGCCAGGAGCTGCCTGAGGACTGGGACAAGCAGCCTGTCAAAGTGCTGGTTGGGACCAACTTTGAAGAGGTGGCTTTCGATGAGAAGAAGAACGTCTTCGTGGAATTCTGTAAGTGAAGCCTCTCGCTGGCCTGTGCTGCCTGGGCGATTCGGGGCGGGCGGCCAGGGCAGCCCCCGGGCCCCGTGAGACTCACTGCTTCCTTGCAGACGCCCCCTGGTGCGGCCACTGCAAACAGCTGGCTCCCATTTGGGATAAGCTGGGAGAGACGTACAGGAACCACGACAACATTGTCATCGCCAAGATGGACGCGACGGCCAACGAGGTGGAGGCCGTTAAAGTTCACAGCTTCCCCACGCTCAAGTTCTTCCCTGCCAGCGCAGACAAGACGGTGCGCCTTCCGGGGGGGCGCGGGGCCTCTGTCCTGCCCGCGAAGGGGTGGGTGGGGTGGGGGGCACGGCCTGAGGGGTCCCTGGTGCAGGGCCAGCTTCCCGCTCCTCATCGCCTCCCCACAGGTCATCGACTACAACGGGGAGCGCACCCTGGAAGGCTTTCGCAAGTTCTTGGAGAGTGGCGGCCAGGACGGGGCAGGGGATGACGATGTAAGTGGCGGCCCCTGCGGCCCCTCCCCGCGCTCCACCGACATGTGCTTAGGCAGCTGGCTCCGGAGGCTTGTGCGCGCCTGGGCCGGGTGGCTCGGGAGGGTCTGTGCATGCGCACGTTTGCTGACGAAATCGGACTCGCCCCGCGTGCTTCCCTGCTCCTTTGGGCTCAGGTGGCCGTCCCCAGCCCATTGGCTAAGGCGTCCTGTCAGCGTCAGCGGTGGGGACCAGAGGGGTGTGGACGTGCACTCAGGCCAAGAGGGCGTGGCAGGGATGGGGGCCGGTGACTAGCAGGACGTAGCATCAGGGAGGGGAGGGAATGGTCAGCCCAGGCCTGCGGCGCCTGCCTGGAGCCTGGAGAAGTGGGGGGGCTGTCACCCCGGGGAGCGCTCTCTGGCTGCTGAGCAGGGTGCGGCTGGGCCTGGGCAGCCGTGCTGCCGTGGCCAGTGGCCTCACCAGCCCCACAAACCCTGAGGGCTGGGAGGGGGATGACGCCGCTGGAGCCCCTGCCACTGACCCACTGGGCAGTGTGGGCTGCGCTCTGCTTCTGCCCGGGCCTCGTGCCCTCGGCGGTGGGGGTGGGGGGCAGGCATCTGCACACACAGGCTCCCGCCCCAGCGGCCAGCTGGTCCCCAACGTGCGGGCAGGGCCTCGACTCTCCGTCCTCCCCTTGTTCCCGTGTCCCAGGATCTCGAAGACCTAGAGGAGGCAGAAGAGCCCGACCTGGAGGAAGACGACGATCAGAAAGCTGTGAAGGACGAACTGTGATGTCACAACCAGCCCAGCACCCTGACGCGCCCTCGGAGCTGCAGCCCCTCAGCGAGGCTTGGGAGCCCGGGAGCCCGGGCCCCCGGGGAGGAGGCGCACCAGCCAGAAGTGCGGGGGACTTCCTGAGGCGACACCTCACTGACACGCGTAGGCTTAGACCCGCCTCTCCTTCCGCCTTTCCGTTCCTGGAAAGGACCCTCCCCAGGCCAACGTCGGGGCCCATTTTTTTAATTGATGTACTTTTTCGTACACGGTTTCTTCCAGAACGCGCCCAAAAATGTTTGCGAATCTCACGTGGCAGTGTCTCCTTCCCGTTAGGTTTATACTATCACTTTTAAAAATTTCCATCTGTGGGATTCTTGGACATTTTTGGACATCGGGGTCTCTGCTCACCTTGGTCGGGTCACCCTGGAGACCGATGTGCCCTGTGTGGAAAGGGCCCAAGCCATGCTGGACGGGTCACCCCCCTCACACCCATGTTGCTGTGACCGAGTGTGGCTCCCGCAGCGTGTGGTTAAATGGAGACTTCCGGTCTCTGTCGCAGAGGCCGCCATGACTGGGGGGTGCCGGTGGGGCCAAGACAGGGCCTTCTCCCCGAGCCAGGCTCCTCACCGCGGAGGCCTGAGCCGGCCTGAACCAGGACCCTCCACTTCCAGGCTGGGACACAGCCGCGGGAGCTCGAGCCCGGCCAGCCGTTAGCGGTCCTCAGGTCCCTCCACCACAGCGTGGGGACAACTCATTGGCCAAATAAACTTCCAATTTCAGTGCCTGTTGTCGTCTTTGCTGTGCAGCCTCCGAGGTGGGCTGGGCCCCCAGCCCCGGAGGGGACATGGGCTTGGCTGGGCCACTCCTGTCCAGATGCTGCTTTCCAGGAGCTCAGGGCAGGGGTGGAGGCGCGCACGGCCCGGGGGGCACCTGCGGGTCTCCAGGCGGGGAGTTGGGGTGTTGCCTGGCCCTGCACGTGCCGTAGCTGATCCGGTTCACTTGTGACTGCCATGGTGGCATCACCCTCCCTGGGCATCGAGTTGTCATGACTCAGATCTTGCCCGAGTGCCACCGCAGTGGCGTCAGCCCTGGCCAGAGGTCGGCAGGTCCATATGCAGTGGCGGTCCCATCCCACCAAGGCCTGGGCCGACCGGGTCCAGTGAGGAGCGCGTTCAGGCTTCTGGAACCGGTGACACAACATTGCCAGACACGCATGTGAAGAGGATCTAGTTTAAGAACAAGTCACTGAGTTGGTCAAGCAGATTCGCCTTCTGGAACGTCAGCTTGCGGTCCGCACGGGAGAGCACGAGATCAGCTCTCCGCCAGCCCGGCCGCCCTCCTGAGCCTGGGTTACGGATGCCTCCAAGCCCCTCTGAGAGCCGGGGACCCCCACGCTGGAGGGCGGGCTCGGCTTCTGCTGCTGTCTGCACCTGCAGCAGCAGGTGGGGCAGGAGGGCCGTGCGCACAGTCCCAAGAGGACGGGTGGAGGTGGCGGGTGCGTCCACCTGACCGGCCCAGGTCAGAGCATCTCAGAGCCCTGCCTGGCCCCCACGTACCCCATCAAGCCCCCACATCCGGCGAGCCCTCTGGAGTGGGAAGTGACAGGCGTTTCCCGGTCCCCAGCCCCCCAGTTCCGAGGCTCACCTGCTGGTTGGTGATCCTGGGCCTGTGGGGCTTGCTGTGAACATAGTTCTCTCAGTGGCCGGGGCCCACAGGGGTTGGGGGTGTCATCTTCCCTCACCCTTACTGGTGCGTTCCCAGCGAGGGGTCCATCTTGCCCTCCGCATGAGGTCACCTGCCATCCAGGGCCAGCGCTGTGCCACCGGTGCACAGTGAGGACCTGCAGGGAGTGCGCTGGTGGCGCCAACCCAGCCCGGGCTTGTCCCCACACCCCAGCATCCAGACACTGCCCCCCCGGAGTCACAAGCTGACAGCGGCCGACAGCCGGGCGTCCCTCGCTGGTCCTGAGTGGCCTTCCAGCTAGTCCGCTCCGGGGTCTGCCTGCTGTGCCTCAGTCCTGCGGACGCGAGGAGCAGACAGCAGGACACGGGTGGGGGGTGGGTTCCACACTCTGGGAGGGGGTCGTGAGGCAGTAGCTCTGGCTTCCAAAGCAGCTCTTTCCAGCACAGCGGGGCTGTCAGGAGTCACAGCTGCAAGGGTGGGCTGGGCCCAAGCCACTGCTCCCTGCCCCAGTGACCGTGTGACCCTGTAGGTGGCGGGGTGGACCAGCTGTGGGAGCCCGGCCCTCTGGACAGAAGGCTGGGACCAGGAGCCGCTGCAGGAGCATTAGCATCACGTGCTCCTGGGAGGGGGTGTCCCCAGGCCGAGCCCCATCCCCTTTTGCAGATGTAGCTGATGACCGGTCCAGGGCCTGGGTTGGCTGGGTGGTTGTGGGGCGGAGTCCAAGACCTGGCTGGCCTGGTGGATTAGCGAGGTGACTTCACCCTCTCTGGGTTGGGCGGTTGAGGCTTAACAGCCTGGGACTCTGTTCCTCACTCTGCCCCATTGCGGCTGTCCTCTCCAGGTGGTAGGAAGCTGCTGTCCTCTGCTGGGCTTGTGCAGCAGGCCCCCCAGATCCCCTGCCCCCAGAGCCGGAGGGGAGGGGTCTGTGGGGCTCCCCATGACCCTCCTGCAGGCTCCCTGTGGCTTTTCCTGCTTGAGGCGGAGCTTACGGGGTGTGTGCCTCACACTTTTCAGAGTGAGCTTTTTGCATTGAATGTTTTCCCGTTTTAGTCCTCTAGATGTCAGAAATTTAAATCCAGCGAACCTGGTCACTTCACGAGTTCGCTCTGGCAGAGAAGGATCAGGGACAGAACCGCCTGAGTACAGGCTCAGTCCTGACATGGCTGCATGAGAAACACCTGTGGCGACGGTGGCAGGTTAGGCTGCTCGTGGCCGCGGCTGACAGTCTCCTAGGTGCCGTGCTGCAGGGCGCGTCTGTGCTCCCACGTCCTCGCTAGAATAGAAAAGCACCTAGATACCTGTCAGGGGCATTTACCTGGCGTGACTAGGGAGGCTCTGGGCAGCAGAGCCCCCCACCGCCAGCTCCCAGCACACCCTTAGCGATGGCCCGGAGGCCCCCTTGAGGTCTCCAACACAGCCACCCCGATGGCCTTGCCCCAGGCTGTCTCACCGGAGGCCCTGGTCACTCCTGGGGAGGGTCATGCTGTCCGTGGCAGCTTCATCCAGGGTTTGTTCATCTGATCCTCTGAGCGGGGAGGGCAGACAAGGCAGATAGAACTTTCCACATCAGAAAAGGTTATCTGCACATCAAAGGAAAGTTGTCTCTTATCTGCAGGGTAGAGCTTTCAGTCTCCAGGTTTCTTGTAACTAAGCTGGAAGAAACTGTCCCTGGCTCTTCCCCAGGGACCAGTTGAGACCGCCAGCCACGCAGCCCCTTCCCCTAAGCCCCAAGTGCAGGAGACCTGGGGTCCGCCCCTACGTCAGGGCCCTGCAGTGTTTGGCCTGGGTGGGGTGCCTCAAGCCCTGGGGTGTGTAACTGGCGGTGGCGCGGGGCCTCTGGGCTGGCCTGCTGGCCGGTGGACCAAGGCTGAGAAAACCCACCCCGGCGGCCGCGGTAGGCACTGCCCTATTTGCCCATAGCTTTTGGCCCAAAGGCCCTGCTCTGAGAGGATGTCAGATACATTTATCGATTTGATTTTGTTGGTTATAGACCAGCTTGGGGATGCAAAGGCTGTCAGTGACCCAGCTACCGGAACCCTCCGCCCCCGCTGCGAAGACCTGGCTACTCAGTTCTGTCCTCAGGCAGGCCTCCGTTAACTCCCCAGTGTTGGGGATTCAGCTGCGTCCCAACCCCAGCACCTCAGAACGGGACCTTATGTGGAAATAGGTCAATGCAGATGTGATTAGTCAGGACGAGGTCACACAGGAGCGGGCGGCCCTAACCCAGTACCTGGTGTCCTTATGACAGGAAGAGATGCAAACATAGACATGAACAGGGAGAATGCCGTGTGAACATGAAGCAGACGAGCTGAAGTGCCTCCAAGCAGAGGGGACCAAGGAGTGCCACCAGAAGCCAGGAGAGGGCTTTCCCTCAGAAGGAACTGACCCTGCTGACACTTTGATCTTGGACTTCCAGCCTCCGGAACTGAGACAATAAATTTCTGTTTAACTACTCAGCTTGTGGCTCTGTTCTGGCATACCCATGGTATGAATTTGCCGCATTTTGTTATTTGTTCATCAGTTTTTGGACATTTGACTTGTTTCTATTTTTTGGCTCTTGTAAATAATGCTGCTATAAACATTTGTGAACAAGCTTTTGAGTGGGCGCGCTGTCATCTCTCTTGGGTATATACCAGGAGTGGAAATTGCTGGGTCATGTGGTAACCCTACATTTAAACTTCTGAGGACCTGCCAGACTGTTTTCCCAAGTGGCTGCACCATTTTACATTCCCACTAGCAGCATAGGAAGATGCCGGGTTCTCCACTCCTTCATCGACCTTCGATCCCAGCACCTCAGAACGGGACCTTATGTGGAAATAGGTCAATGCAGATGTGATTAGTCAGGACGAGGTCACACAGGAGCGGGCGGCCCTAACCCAGTACCTGGTGTCCTTATGACAGGAAGAGATGCAAACATAGACGTGAACAGGGAGAATGCCGTGTGAACATGAAGCAGACGAGCTGAAGTGCCTCCAAGCAGAGGGGACCAAGGAGTGCCACCAGAAGCCAGGAGAGGGCTTTCCCTCAGAAGGAACTGACCCTGCTGACACTTTGATCTTGGACTTCCAGCCTTCAGAACTGGGAGAGCACCAAGTTCTGTCGCTTAGGGCCCCCAGCCTGGCACCTCATTAGGGCGGTCCTGGGGAATCCTGCCTCAGGTGCTGCGGACCTGTCCTAACTCCACAGGTGCACTCCTGACCCCACTCTGCTCCGTGCGTGTCCCATGTCCCGGGGTCACATCTCGTTCCCTGGTGCCACTCCCTCACCCAGGCCCCAGCCCCAGCTCAGACATTGGCTGCTGCAGCGAAGGCAGGTGGCGCTGGCCTGGGCTGCTGGAATGTCTTCACATTCCACTGGCTGCGCTCCCACAGGTGAGTCCGCGCCGGGCCGGGTGCAGAAGGCACACACCACCTGAGACGTGGCGGCCTGTCTCTGGGGCACAGACTGGATGCCACCTTAAGTGTGAGCATGTGTCCAGGAAGTTGCAGGAGCCTGGAACCAGGAGAAATGTGGGGCACAGCGACAGGGCTCGGGGTGCAGGAGAACCAGCTATTGCAGGGAGGGGAGGCAGGGGGTTCCTGATGGGTGGGGTGGGCAGGCCTGAGTGGGCGCTGAGGTTCTTAGATTCTAACCTGGGAGGTTCCCGAGCAGGAAGGCCCAGGAGAGTGATGCAAGCCAAAACGAACAGCGACAAGCAGCAGACAGGGTGATGGGTAGGGCCGGGCGGGCCTTCTTCCTGGCATGGTCAGGACCCTGAGCTTCCCCTAGTTTCCTGGAAGGCGGAGGCGGCCACCCTCACCGTCTGCTGGGCCTTTCTCCCAGAGTTCCAGGCCTGGGCCCTTTTCGATGCTCTTGGTACCTACTTGCCTCCCTCATAGGCCCTGTCCTTCTAGTGTCCTCTGTGAGGCACCTTCCAGGTCCAGCAGTGGGGCCGGGTGCAATAGCCAGGAAGGATCTGACCCCTTTGGCTGGGCACAGCGACAGGTGGGCTGAAAGACGAGCCACCAAACATGATCTGAGAACAAGGCGGAGAGCAGCTCGGTTTCAGCCCTTCGCAGTGTGAGCGTGACTGCGCAGCTTTATATAGCTCTGCGGGCCCTATATAAGTGGGAGGTGCCCTTGCCACCGGGAGTACAGGAGGCATCGCGGTGGCTGTGCTGGGAGCCACTGTCCTCGACCAGAAGAGCCTACACGCTGGTCTGGTCCAGCTGCGCACATTCCTCTCGGAGCAAGAGGGTCCCCTCAGGGGTGGTCCACACCACAGCCCCCAGGATGCCCAGCAGAACTGTCCGCTATGCCCGCTATAGCCCACGGCAGCGGCGCCGGCGGCTGCTGGCGGAACGCAGTGTGCGCTTCCCTAACGACGTCCTGTTTCTGGACCACATCCGCCAGGGTGACCTGGAGCAGGTGGGACGCTTCATCCGGGCTCGGAAAGTGGCCCTGGACACCATCCACCCCTCAGGTGAGTGCCCGGGGGACCAGCAGAGGGTCTGTGGGGAGGCAGGCGGAGGGCTGGGCCTTGACCCGCCCTGCCCTGCCCTGCCCTGCCCAGGCCTGGCGGCCCTGCACGAAGCCGTGCTCTCTGGAAACCTGGAGTGTGTGAAGCTGCTGGTCAAATACGGGGCCGACATTCACCAGCGCGACGAGACGGGCTGGACGCCCCTGCACATCGCCTGCAGTGACGGGTACCCTGACATAGCCAGGTGAGAGGGTGAGGCCAGCGGTTTTATCCCAACTCCTCCAGCCTCAAGGGGCCTCCAGGATGTGGCCCCCCAAAAGCTGGCGGTGTCACTAAGAACTGTAAGGGCTTCTGTGATCTCCTGTCCCCTTGCCCGCCCTGGAGCAAACTGGAAAAGTCAGCCAGTTTCCAAAGGGTCAGGTTTCACCCCACTAACCCCACCTGGAAAAAGAAATAACAGGTGGATCTCAGAGCTGGGGTGGGGGCGCTCCTCCAAGCCATCTCTCCACTACAGCCATGGCTGCCCTTTATGCCCAGGTACCTCATTTCCCTGGGGGCCGACAGAGACGCAGCCAACGATGACGGTGATCTGCCTTCCGACCTCATTGATCCGGATTTCAAGGACCTGGTAGAGCTCTTCAAAGGGACTAGGATGGACTGAGCCCCGCCCTGTCCTCCCAGGGCTGTCATCCTCCCTGGAAAAACCGGGCGCCCACCTCTCCCAAGTGCCAGGACGTGCCCGCCCGCGGGGCGCTAGAGCCAGCCAGGCTGGCCAGGACCCCGTCCCTGGGAACGGACCCCGTCCCACACCTCTGGCCTGGCTTTTTCTCCAGGTGAATTTTTTATTGTGAACAGTTTTTACTTTTTCAATAAATGTGATGCCCACGCCCGAGGTGGTTGCCTGATTACTGGGGACCGGCCCACCCCAGCCCCCCGGATCCGGCCGCTTCCGGCAGGGGGCGC